TGCTCCTAGTAGTGTCCTCCTAGTAGCATAAGAGAACAAGTCATAGGTGTCCCAGCAAAATCCCTTTACTGCAGCTCCTTCCAGACTTGGAGCATATCAGCATGGGCAAGATTTGCTTGTGCTTCCTTTTGTGCCTACATGTAAATCCGCGCTCAAACAAAACATGAGCTACACATTCGATGTTGCATGTACCAAAACTGCGCAAGAGTGACTAGAAGATGTCTTAAACAAGCACCAGCGACTACCGCGACAAAGTGTCCAGGAGAAAGGTGAAAGAGCCAAGAAGAAAAGGTTTGACGCCCTTTGTTACTTACGTTCGCAGCTTCTTGTTCATCGCACACGCGATCGTTCGTAGCTTCGCACACGCGCCTCGATCGCCATTTCTCCCAGTTAGACCTCACCGATCCGCAGAGCATGTTTGGTCAAGCAATGCAAGTGACGATGCCCGCAGCTCAAAAGCAAGCCGGGCTAAAGAAAGCAAGCCTCGCATGACTTATACTTATATATATATATATATATTATGGTCCGGTTTGTAAAAACGATCCTGCCAAATCCATGTGGAAAATATTTGCACGATCGATCGACCATGGATAACCGGACAACCTTCAATGATGGACCTTGCTCAATTCACCTCCCGTGCCTCATGGTGGTGCCCTTCAAGCTGGTCTTGAGCCAACGAAGCAGCAGGAAAACTGAAGGGTCAACATGCTCGTTTGCCAAAGAAAGCACAATTGCATACCATCATTGCGTACCATCATTCCCCCACAGAAGGTTCCAACGTGCTACACATCAGCATTACTTAGGAAGCGGGACAGCTTCAGCTTGGCGAGAGCCCTTCCTTGCTCTAGAATCGGGTATTTCTTGAGGCTCAAAATAGGCCCTGGTTGAACATTGATGACTGGTTGATGATGCAAGAAATGTTCGAAGACATCCAAGAGTGCATCTTGGTGCATCATATCATCGTTGACTGGGTTGTATTTGTGGGTGCAAGTGAGCGGACCAGTGTGTGCTCTTGACGGTGTACGCTCGGCTCGAAAAGCCTTCTTGATCATCTTGGCCAGCTCTTCTGAAGCTACCTGCAAGAACGCCACAGCACATTGCATAGTCTTTTCTTCCCACCACGACTGCTTATTGTTGATGTCTTGGCACAGTCTGGATGACTCAAATACTGCTACTTCATAGTGCAAGCATGACGTGATGATGAATATGTACAACAGAGATCTTGGAGCCACCGCGCAGATCAGCTAAAAGGAGGAAGGAAGAAAGTGTCAAACGATTTTCCTCAATATCTAGAATCTAGGAACTGTGTCGATAATGTGAAAGACCATCTGCAAGTAGCTCCTTGCTACTATTGATCCAGCCTGGCTACTCCTACCCTATCTTAAAGAAAAGTCCTTGTGCAAAGATGTTTGGCAAATACATGAGGGACTTAAACTTCACCAGAGCTCAAATGCACCTCCAGCTTCATGTCGCTACGACGCTCAGCTTCTCGGAGTGCAATCTGCAAAAGGCACAGCGAAGGCAAGAAGGCTTCTCAAATACTGAAAGAACACATAAGGTTATATCGAAATAAGGCTTCCTATGATAGCGAAACTGAGCAAAATTAAGAAAAGGAGACTGTAAAAAAAGAAAGAGCAAGATAGAGCAAGCAGAAAAAATGAAGTCGAGAATGTCAACGTAATGTTATGGTAATTGCGCACCGTCCATGGGCGAATTCCCCATGCAAATCCAACAGGTTGCACTGCATATGCCAATGTAGACACGAACTGGCCTCCAGGGCATCAAGCCGTGCTGTCAAGCTGGCGTTTTCAGCCTCGCAAGGCACGATTTGGAGCAAGCAAAACAAATCCAAAGAAGAAAAGAAAACATGTCTAAAGAAGAAAGGTATAGCCTCAATCTTGCTGAACGAGGGCATTCCAGAACTACGGCCTTTTAAGCACTTCTACAAAAACACATCAAGTGAAAAAAAACGTTCGTTTCTTCCTTTTCTTTTGGGCGGTAGCCCGTAGGGGGTAGCTACTAACAAGATCCGTTCGGCCGCTACTACCTGTGCAGGAAAGCTCAGGCTTCTTCAAGGAAGCTATAGGAAGCTGACCACCTTAGATGTTTCGAATTACTAACACTGTAGGCCTCTATGGATTAAAGATTGCTTGAAAGGTGGCATGCCAGACCTAAGTAGCAAATGCACAGCTTGTCGGAAACAAACATCGTGGAACCGCCGATCCTCCAGCCCACGAATGCGAATGAAGTGCAAATGCTCCCGCACCTGTGAGTTGAAGACACCATGGTTTTCACGTGTGCTCCGTTTGTTTGGTTCATTACGCTGATGTCGATCCAGGAGAAACATAGAGAAACCAGTGAGAAATGCCTCACTGGATTGGGCGCCTCAATGATGCACTCCTCCGAGCCCGCATTGGTCAATGCTCGCTGCAAGTCCTTGCTCGACACAAGGACTTGAAGGACACTGTCGCTGCCTATCTATATGTCAAGCCTATCTGTCAAGGCCAAAGCCTTGACAGAATTCTTGGGGAATCTTAGAAGAATCATGGCAGCATCTTGCAAATGTGTTGTTTACGGTCCGCTGGGCTAGAAATCTTTCCGAAGGTATCGTAGAAGTCATAGGAGCCTGAGACCAAGTGAAATCGAAGCTACGGCAATGAAATGGTCTTTTTGTCAGTCATTGACAAACCCTGCACGGCCTGGAGGCAAACCAAGCTTCTCTTCGGCATCCTACAGACATCCACAGCGATGCTGGATAGTGTCTGGATACTGGGAACGGTATTTTGGCTCCTGAAAGAATGCTTCCAGGTTCTTGATGGAGCGAACGGCCTCCAAGTGCTGAAATCCACCCAGAGAATCCACTGTGCCAAGAGATGAGAACTTGCCTCCGCCCCGGAGCCTCTAGAGATGACCTGTAAGGCGAAGAGGACAAACGAACGAAGAAGTGAAGGCTCAACGAATCGTTGAAAAGATTAGTCGAGTAAGATACTGGTCTGTATGCAAATATCATCAGTAGCCTCATGGCAAATAGCATTTAGATGCATTTAGTAACAAGTGCATCGCTACTAGCAACAAGTGCATTGATACATACAAGTAACAAGAAGCTACTAGTAGCGATGCACTTGTTACTAGTTGTGTTAAAAGCACTCGTGTCTCGTGTCCATGTGCTCCGAGATCTTGGCTCGTTTGTCCCCGTAGGCGAAAACCAGGGTGTGCGACATTCCCTAGCAAGGCAAAGGCAAAGCTTTAAACTTTCAATACAACCCACCAAAGCAAAGCATGTAGTTTCTTATACGAGGACATCTCAAATGTTGGACCGTCTGAATGAAGAAACACGGTCAAGTCGGAGGATCCAGCGAGCACGTGAGAGCAGAGAAGTGGGAGACGAGGACACCAGATAGACGGCACAAAGAATCCAGAAACTCAACAGCAAACTTCTTTGGGGTGAATACCCCAAACGACCAAAACGCGGGCAAGGAGCTTAAACTGATCCAACTGCAAGTGCGAAGCATGTTGTTGAGGCGAGCACACTATACTAGCAGGGAGGAAATTCTTTAGTGCTGGGGGGGCATCAGGTTTTGATAGAGACATCCAATTGAAGGTCAAAGGTCAAAAAAAATATGTAGAAACAAAGAAGCAAGAAACTAAGAAGACACAAAGAGGTTTCAAGCGTTTGAAGTGAGGAGACATGTCGAGAGAGGCTCTAAGTAGAGAGATTGCAAGTCACCTTGGAAAGCTGACAAAGAGACGTGTAGCAAGGAAGGCAAGTGGGAGACAGCACAATCAAAAGCATGAAGAACACCCTATCGGCAACCAAATTTGACCACGGACACCGGTTGTAACAAGAAGCGCAACGCACAAACTGACTGTGAACCGCATTTCCAGTCGTGGGATTTGACCATGTCTTGGTTGCGGGGTCGAAGAGCAAGGTGGAGCGAGAAAGAAATACAAAAAGCACACAAGAATGAAGGTGGAGACACAAGCAGACCGAGCACCAGGTAAGCAGCACGCCGACGTACAAGCATAGAGTCAAGAAAACGAGGAAACAAGGAAAGAAAAAGAAACGCTAAGAAATTGACCAATTGCATGCAACGATGAATAAGTCAGGAAGTGGATGCGCATGGGCTTGAACGACATGCAAGAATTGAAATTGAATGGCCTAGCCCAGGTGCACGGAGCGCATAAGGCTGTAGGAATGTCTGACCCTGGAATGAAGAAAACAACTGAGCCATAGCGGAGCATCCGGAAAAGGGATGTGACAGCTGTCTGACAGCTCGTTGTCTCAACCTCTGCACACAAACTCTTGCCGTGTCAAATCACGAGTCATAATTGGAGTCCTTTGCGTCATTTTGCGGCGCGTTCTTCCGCGCATCTTCTTTCGCCCGGCGAAGGCGAAACCGCCCGATTGTCATTGGCAGATGAAACGCACTCAGTGAGCCACCCCGTCCACCCAGACATATTTGCCTCACCAGAAGGTAAACAAAATCGACTCCCTGTGTTTCTGTTTTGTTCAAGCCCGTCCCTGACTTAATTGAGTAGGTGCCTACTCAATTAAGTAAGGGAGTAAGCTCTTAGCTACTTAAGCTACTACATATGGACGCAGGTTAGCTCACGCTTCTTCAAGGAAGCTCCCCCGCCTGAGGGGAGCTTCCTTGAAGGAGCGCTCGAACTAATCATTTGGTTCCACTCATATTCAATATCGACTCTCGACTACATCTGATGCTTAGGGCGTAAGGCAAGAGAGTGTCAGAAAATGTTTTGACCCGATAGAAACCACAAATTATGCTAATCCATATATCTTACCATCTAAGGTCTATAAGCATCTATAAGGTCTATAAGATCAAAGGCCCGCACTGAGAAATTTCTTGTGGAAATCGCTTCGAACCTGAAGCGAGTCACGTGTAATGGTAACAGGAGGAGTCAAAAAAGCGAGCCCTTGTGTTCATTCACATGTTTATATACTCCCAGGTACGTGTTTGTACTACAATTCAGACATACATGCATCTCTTAAATGTGAAGGTCTGACATTGTCAACAGAGCTCAGGGAAAAAACGGCATCGTTGATGTATCTCTGCTTCACTTTTGGAGCAGTCCTCGCCTGCACATGAAAGCCACAAATCTGGACACATTCATACACAGCCATACACAGCCATACAGTGTAGCACAGGGTTGCCAAAACCAAAGAAAAACAGATGTGAGAATCTACAAGGAAGACACCGGCAAACAACAGCATTACAAAGCTTGACAATGCTGCAATCAAAGCCTGATTCTTGAAAACGGTGTCATCATCCCATCGCCTGGCAAACAATCTGCTTGTAGAAAGGGACCATGTGTTCAATCAATGTATTTTCTTGTTATGGTGTTCTATTCATTGTTTGTTCCTCTGATTTAGACCTTTATAGAGTAGGTTTCTTCTCCTTCATTTTCTATGTTGTGAGACCTTTTTGACCCCGCAAAGTTCTGAAAAAAAGAACCAAAGGTTCGACTGGTTCAACGTCACCCCCTCCTCTTGAGCGATACATCTGCACCGTCTGCTAGGAGAGGGTTCCCTTTCATCACCTCTTCCTCAGAAAACAAACAAGAATAACCAAAATTGATGAACAAGTGACAGAGAGAGAGAGAGAGAAAGTACAAACAAAAAAGGACAACAGGCTGCATGGAAGACCGGTTGTTTCGACGTGCGAAACGGGAACCGATGAACAATCGTCGATTCAAAGCTTTTGGACTTAACATGACTGACCTCACTCCAAAAAAGGAAAACTTTAGAAACGCATGTAAAAAGAACGCAAAGCCCCTCGCTATTAGGAAGAAAGCCATCGGTAGGTTGGAGGCCATCGCTGGTAGGTTGGAGGCCATCGCTAGTAGGGTCGAGGTGCCATCGCTAGTAAGGTGGAGGCCATCGCTAGTAGGGTGGAGGTCAACGCTAGTCGGGTGGAGGCCATCGCTAGTAGGGTGGAGGCCATTGCTACTAGGTTGGAGACCATTGCTAGTGGGACTAGTAGGGTGGAGGCCATCACTAGTCGGGTGGAGGCCATCGCTACTAGTAACAAGAAGCTACGAGGATCAAGATTGTGCAGGAGCTGGATTTTCCAGGTTATCTTACAATATGCAGCTTTTATGCATCTTGATAGCCTGCACCGTATGTGCCATGCAAATTTCTTGATGTTGAGGGATTGTCCGGCTACCCCTTACCAAATGAGGTTGCACAAAGGTCCGGATTTCAAGCGGATGACAAACCTCTTTAATTAAGCGACTGGAACCAAGCGTTTAGGATTAATGGCCGGATTCGTTACTCAGAGCATCAGAATTTTCTCAAAACATTGCAGAGAATTCCCCCTCTGTTTCGCACCTAACATTGCAATAGCAGGAAACGACAGGCACGACAAACACCGAAGAAAAACACTCTCCGAGACTTCCGGTCACCGACCTTCGGCAAGCTTTCCGTTGGCTCAGTTTCAGGCCCTTTGAGCTCTTCTGTCCTGCTTGGCTTGTAGTGC